CAGGGAGGCATTTAAATGCCTCCCTGTGCATTCTCCGGCCTGTCCGAGGGCCAGCTTGCTTGGGCTCCCCGCAGCCATGGGGTGCCCAGGCAAGCCAAGGAAAGACATGGGGTGTGTGGCCTAATAGGCTAATGAGCTGCGCTGTCAGGGTGTGGCCTAATAGGCGAATGAGTTTCTGCTGTTGGGTGTGGCCTCTTATGCTAGTGAGTTCCTGCTGGGCTTTTTCTACAAAAAAAGCCCTGCTCATCTGTAACCTCCTGTTACGTGACAAACCCAACCTTACATGCATAACAGATGCAGAAATAAGGGCACCAGGCAGAGGTATGACAATCCTGGCTCCCTTTTACCTATTCTTAGCACAAGACCTCATTCAAACAAACTCACGTTTTGAAGCAGGGGTCTCCAGAGAGCAGGGACATTCCAATCATCACCTGTGGAAAAATACAGGACAGCGTCATTTCTTAAAACTGTCCTACTCATTTTGTTAACTGTGTAATGTTACTCGCACCCTCTCTTTTCTTGACAGCTCTGGCTGAATTGTTTTACTGCTATGATTGACTGCTGTAGCCTTTTTAAAAACAATGTGCGCCTTATGTTGGTTTTGTTGCACACCACTCGCAGCATTCTTTCTGGAGAACCCCGCTAACCAGTATTCTAAATAAAAAGAATGGCTTGATTTTAAAACGCAACGCATTTGTATCGTCAACGTCTGTGACAAACAACACAAAGAACCCTCCCGTTCCCCCCGTCCCCTTGAATTTCTGATCAAGCGTAAGAGCCTCCTCCCAAGAACCGATTTATCCAGTGGGTGACGTGTGTACTGTGCTAAGTTAGCACTTGATAGACTGCCGGCATTATGTGCTCACACAGTGACCAAGAACCAGGACTGACTAAGAACAGTTTGTTCTTCCATAGTGTTTGCGAGGTGCCTTTTGCTTTCTGTCATTCTACTTCAATAGGCAGTTACTGAGCAGAGGTTTTCCCCAGCCCACCGTCATTCTCCAATCCTCCACACAGTAGGCAGAGAGAATCTCAAAAGGATATCAACAGCTGCAAAGACCTCTGGCTGAAGTCCTTGAACTGAAGTCAGCCAGGCACACAGCAGTTCTGTGCATTTCTGCATAGGCCTTCTTTAAGATATATATTAGGAAACGTACTGCAGCCAAGGGCCAGCATCAATGTAGAGCAGTGGACAAGGTGCTGGGCATGGAGCCAGAAAGCCTACATCTCTGCTATGAAGACTATTGGATGTCTAACTGCCAGGGAGACTGAGTATTCCATCTGAAGCTGAGTTACAACCTATAAAACCCACTGAAGTCAATAGGTTTGGACGAGTGTAACCCTGCTTAGGATAGCACTGTAGATCAGCTGAAATTGGAAAGCATTTTGTACCTTGAAGCAGGCTTCTGGAAATAACTAGCCACAGGCAACACCACATTGTCCCGGACCACGAGCAAAGAACCCCAAACCGGAACGACGTGAGCACCTGCCAAGTACGTTTAGACAGGCCTGGCTGACTCGAAGTCCTAGTTTTGATGCTTGACAGCCCTTCTCATAGCAGCAAGAAGCTCCTTCGTCATTATACATATACCCCCTTTCCAGCCAACGTAATCTCCCGAGGAAAGCTTATGATAAATAAAATCCGACACACAAGACGTTTGGAATGAGTGTGGCTTGGGGGACTGTTGCGTCTGGATCCTGGGATTTGAGGGGGCCGGGTCTGATCTGCATGGATGTAATAGGACGAAGTAGTGGTAACGAAGAAGTATGACAGAGCATCATTTCAGTGAGTGCGTACGAGAAAGAGAATGAGAACCACTTTGTGTACTGTACCCCTATGGGGGGGGAACCCTCTCAGCCACTGGAAAACAAGTACACCAGGCCAGTGGTCCCCGATGAGTCTCCTGTGGGCACCACAGTGCCTCGCAATGTGTGCCCAGAAATCTCAGTGGAGAAGAAGGTGCTTCAAAAGACTCCAGGAGGCGTCAAGTTTTGTTCTGCAAAGAGTGTCGTCATGAACTGGGCTGTGCCACCGAAGGCTTAGTAGGCCCAAGGAGCCTGGCTAGCAGTAGGGGAAGCTGTGCCTACAAACCCCAAAATGCCTTGGAAAGTTTTGGTGCTGATTTTGGCCAATAGGGAAGAAGAGGGCTGGGGAATAAAAGAACTGCTGCAAGAGGAGAAGCTGTTTTTCTTCCCAGGGAACTGGGCCAGAAGGAAGGCTGCTGCAGGGAAGAAACCCTCATCCTGAGGGAAGGGTGAGTAGTCTAAGGCCACTTGAGATAGTGAGCTAGGGACAGTATATTTAGACACGTTAGGGCGTTTGATTTATTTTATTTTCACCCACTTACTGTTATTATTCCTGCACCTTGTTTGTTTGACCTCCTATAAAATAAACCGTTTTCATTTTTCACTCTGTCTGGTCCTCACGCCTATTATTTGGCCAAACAAGGGAGGCCTGAAAGTCTTGGGAGGGTGCTCTGGGCCTTCTCAAGGGATCCTAAATCCAGAGTGGGGGCAGCGTCGGGTGACACCCCACCTGAGCCGCGACAAGTGCCTATTTGGAAATATACATTATAGGTTGATGCTTGGGTTTAGGGCCTTCCAAAATTTTGTAATCGCCTCCCATGGCAGTCACTTTGTGGTGGTTCCCACGGCCCTCTCTCAAAATTCCAAAAGAGCCCATAGGATTGACAAGCTTGGGGACCCCTCTCCCGCAGGTCTGTGATTTAATTTTCAAGAATTTTTTACACAGAGGAACGTGGGGGGGGGGGGGAGGCAGACCCCAAACAGTCCTTGTAGAATAAAGTCTCCTTTATTCAGAAACCTACTATTTCATTCTGTCAGCATCTTGGTCCCTTAAAGGGGCAAAAAGATACTGACTAACAGTAAAAGGCGACCACCTGCTGAAGCACCTCTAATCTAACTAATAGCCAAATGGTATAGATAGGAACTCTTGGTCAGGGGCAAGGGATGCACTGTATTCATGGTGCTTGGGGCGGCGGCAACAGTGGGACGCCTTCTAGTGTCCTGGCCCCACTGGTGGACCTACTGAGGAGAGCCAGTTTGGTGTAGTGGTTAAGTGCGCGGACTCTAAACTGGGAGAAGCGGGTTTGATTCCCCACGCCTCCACTTGCACCTGGCTGGATGGCCTTGGGCAAGCCGTAGCTTTGATAAGAGCTGTTATGGAAAAAGAGCAGTTTCTGTCAGAGCTCTCTCAG